ATAGATAGTATTGGTTTAAAGGATACTATTTGTGAAAGAAATCAAATAACCCCTACCTCATATGATATGTAACTGAGAGACAAATCAGTATAGTGTTCTCTTACATATTAATGTAAGAGAATAATTTATTACTCTGGAGTAGGGAATTCTACATAGGACATCACACTAATCTTGAAGAAAAGATTAATAAATGCATTATATTAATGTTTAAAATATCTTAATAAAAATGCCATTTTTAATGTAAAAACAAGCTTTTTTACTGAAATAAAGCAATTTAAATATATATCGCTAGTAGACTCCATAACTAAGCTTAAAAAAAGTATAAATCAACAAGACAACTCAGTATAAAAGTAGGCAAAGATTTGAATAAAAAGTTCAAAAAAGAGAATCTCCAAATGGACTGAACAAAATATATTAAAAGGACCTTAACCTCATTGGTAATGAGGGAAAAGCAAGTTATATCCCATTTTACACTTATCAGAATGGTTAAAGTTTATTTAATTTTTAATTCCAGTTGTGTTTGAGGTGACATTGATTTACAACAATACATGTTTTATCAGTATAGGTCACACCTCTACAAATGTATGTCATTACGCCACAATCACCATCAAAGCAAGAGTAATCCTTTACTATAGTCCATTGGGTCCTCTCCACCCATGACTCCTACTCCCATATTTCCCTATTGGTAGCCTCAGTGTTGGCTTGCTTTTGTCTGTTCCTTTCCTTTGTTTCTTTATATCCCATGTCTGAGTGAAATTATCTGCTGTTTGTCTAGCCAACCCAAACCAAAACAAATCCTAAAAATCTGACTGTAAAATTAAGGCTTTCATAGGGGAGGGGTAGTGTGGATAGCAAAGTTTGGAGGTGGCCTAAAGGACTATGGTAGAGACTATGGGTGACTTGGTGATGGATGTGGGTGGTAACATACATCTAAGGAGGTGCGATCCTATGTCTGTCAGTCATATATAGTGTTGTGACCCAGTGTTACTGCAATAAAAGTAAAATAAAATGTTAGTAGTAAATATTTTGTGTTTACTAATTCAATTGCAAAATTTAGTTGACTAATAAAATGAAAATTAAAATGGGAGATATAGTTAAATAAAGCAACTCTGGTCTTGTCATTTTAATGCAATTATCTATTTATATCCTTTGGCATTTGAAAAATTGGATTGCTTATTCTAAATTTTTAAGATGCTTCATATATTTTGGCATTAGTAGCTTATACCACACAAATATTTTTCTGAATTTTTCCTTTGTCTTGCAACTTTGCTTAAGGGTTTTTTTTTTTTGTAAAGAAGTTTTAATTTTAATTGGAAAAAAAAAAAACATATTGTCTGAGTCCCTTCTGGATCTGAATCCACAGAGGAAGTCCTACAATTATTGTTCATATACTAAGCAGCCCAAGAGATTCTTATGTTGGAGCTTAAAAGGGACACATGATTTATGATTGAACCTTCAGATTAGGACATTAAGGACTTCAGTGAACAACTATCCGTCTCTATACAAAATAAGGATAATAGAAAAAAATGATCATATACAGACAAAAATCAAATTTCAAAATTTCATTTTATAACTTTTACATTAATTCAGCAATAATTAATGTGTAGTCTGCTATACATTGAGAGCCTGAATTTGTGGTAAGTGACTTTTTAGAATATTTTGCAGTTTTTAAAAGATGAAATCAGATATATTTACTAATTTAGTTTTCACAAACCCATGCAATATTTGTTACTATGGTCAATCTCAGTTTCTAAAGAAGTCACAGGGAGTTCACAGAGATTAAGTGACTTCATCTAGTATCTCTTGCAAAGTTAAATCTCATGTAATTTTAGAATAATTTATGTTGAAATTGCTTTTCTACTTCTGAATGCTGGGAGCTAAGATTCTGAATGCTGCATCTTTTCTATCAAACTCCTTTTCATGGAGTGACCTACAGAAAGCAACCTCTTAAAATGAAAACCTTCATTTTCAAAAGAAACAGCCCCACCATGATTTTTCCTTTTATAGCAGGATTGTTTTGATCTGCTATTTTTATAATGGAAACTGGGGGTGATGGTATTTTACTCAGAGATCTCTAAGAAATTATTTTTTTTCTCCTGTCAGGTAAACACTCCTTTTTACTTGATTATTTCATTTCTAAGGCCAAAAGTGCATTCAGATTCTCCAGAAGGCTAAAGATGGCAGCATGTGAATCATAGAATTTAGCTTTATCTTTATTAGCTATTCTGTCAACTAGTACCAAATTTCATTAGTAGGGCAAAAATAGGATTGAGTGCAGCAAAGAAAAACAATAAGCGCAATAGCAAATATCGATGGTATGAGTGAATCATGGAAGATAAAAGAAAAATGGCTAAAAAGTGAAAAAGGATAAAAGCTTATCTTCAGCAGTAATTAGGATATTCTTACATTGCTATTGAAATGTTTATGGATTTGTACATATATATGATGTTAAATACCATATACTTTTACATAGATATGATAGTATAAAGTATTTTGCATTATATATGCTATATATGCATATAGTATTATAAAATTATGTAATATATAGTAAAATAATATGCTGTGTAATATTATCTGATATCTTATATAGATAGGCACATACCTATTAAAAGGAGGAGGAAGCATGCAGGGAACTTACAAAGTTGGTTACCTCCGGAAGGAGCTTAGAATTAAGTTGGTGATCGTCACTTATAATATAATGCTTTGATTTTGCACAAGGAGAAAGCGCATTATGTGTATTTGAAATGATTTTAATCAACTTTTATGTTATTAAAAAACTGAAACGAGCAGTTCACAGAAATGTGTTTTACTAAATTCTAAACTCTATATGTTAGTATCTTGAACCAGCACATTTGGTAACAGACAATGACAGTAGTATAGTCTGGAGATTTCCTAAAGAGATTTGATTTCCTATAGAGAAATACAGCTGTGACAGTCATATGTCATCACCTTATACAGAAAACACCAGACCGCACCATGGCCAGGGATGGTGGTGAAGTGTAACTATCTTGTACTTCTACACATCAGTGCCTCACCTATTTGGTAATAGCTATTAACACCAGAGAACATACATTTGTTCAAGGATTAGCCCAAAAGAATAAAATTACTTTTCTCACAAGAGAAAGTCACCACAGAATGGTTTACTTTGACAAAAGATGTAATCAGAATCACTTCAACTGATAATTTTATTGACATTATCTCTATACACACAATTAGCTCAGTTTTTCTTGCAGAAAAAATAATTTTACTGGCCAAGTTGCTTTTTATACTTGTAACCTTTATGTTTTAAAACCCAGAACTTTACTAGAATCCACAATTTAAGATAAAAAGCATTGACTAAATTTAGTTTTACTTTTACTTTTAAGTATTCAGTAAATTTGAAAAGTTTTAATCTGAATTAACTATTCAACTTTTGTCATCATTATGCTGATTCCTTTATAGTGTTTTCATATGGTCTACCTTGTAATCATTTTCTAAAATAAAGTGTTGTGGCAACTACCATAGAACATCTGTTATCAACCATGTTAAAAGGTGAAAATAGGGCCTCCCTGGTGGCGCAGCGGTTGAGCACTGGGTTGGGAAGCTGCCCGCAGCCTCTGCAGCGCCGGTTCGGTTCCCGGCTGCTCCCCGGCTACTGGAGGAGGGTCCCACATGGCGCGCAGACCTCTCCTGCCGCCCGCTGCTCCCCTCAGCAGTGTACTTCGGTCCTTCTGCCTGCTCTGCTCCCCACTCTGGCTCTGGTGAATTCTCTTACCCTCCCGCGCTTCTGACTGTACCCAGTGCTTGTATAAATAAATAAATCTTAAAAAAAAAAAAAGGTGAAAATAAATACACCTTTGGGCAAGATAGGCAATAACAGTGTTAAGAAAATAGAATAAGATGATTGTTTCTCTTGGAAAAAGAGACACTAGATCCTATGTTTGCTGTTAGACTAGAATGGAATGAAAATAACTAGATACATAATATAGTGTCTTAAAAAGAATAACATAAATTTTTAGAAAAAAATATTTGTACAGAATTTTAAGAGTGAATCAGTTACTGAATAATTCCATGAAAGAGAATGAGTAGAATTTTTTGACCAAATTTTTGAAATAATTTTTCCCTACTTTATACTAACACCTGCCAGAAGCTAATATTTCTTTTTCCCCTGTTACATTTTCAAATATTTCTCTCATCATTTTTCTAATAGTAAGTAGATCAGACTTGTTTTGAAAACAGAAAGCAAAAACAGATAATGATATTCTTAATATTTTTTTAAAGCCAGAATTACTCTAATTTTCTTTGGAATTTTGTGTTCCAAGTTTCTTTGATGTACATTTCATATAACTGAGAATATAGTGAATATTTGTATCTTTTCTTAATACCATTTCACAGGCAGTTGTGCACCATATTAAAAACATTTTTGTAAAATCTTTGTCAGGATTGTATTTAGTAATTTTCTAAAGTTGAATATTTGTGGCCAATGCTTTATTGGTTATAAACAGTATGATAATAAATGTCATTGGCATAAATTTTTATCTTCAAATTTTAATTCCCTAAATCAGACCTTTAAAAGTAGAATTACTTGGTCAAAGGTTTTAGATGCTTACCAAGCACCTAATATCTGGTTGGTTTTCATATACATGATATCAAGTTAGACCTATGAGGTGTGGCTGGGAGTACCCTCTTCAAGGTACCAGTGCCAAAACTGGATAGTCCGGTTATTTTTATCATACTAATTTTATGAGTTAAAATTGGATACTGTTGATTTAATTTACATGTAAATGATTATCAGTGATGTTAAATATTAGTCAAATGTTTATTTTATATATATTGTATTTCTTCAATTATCTCTTCCTTTTTCATTTGCAGGAGGGTCCTTGATGATTTTTATTTATTAATTTCCTCCCTTCCCCTCCTTCCCTCCTCCTATTCCCTCTTTCCCCCCCGTCTTTATTCATACAAGAACTGGAGTGTTGGATTCACCAGAGACAGAGTGGGGAGCAGAACAGGCAGATCTACTGAAATACACTTTTGAGGGGAGCAGCAGGTGAGACAGGAGAGGTCTGCTGCGCCATGTGGGTTAGCTCCCTGACCAGATCTAACTCAGGCCACAGTGTTGATAATGCTGAGACTTAACCTCTAGGCCACCAGGGAGGTCCCTGCATTAGTTCTTTACAAAGGAATAATAATAATAACCTGTATTTCTATTATATACAAATTTTATGTTGTGATTTAATCTCCATATTTTTGTATACATATTGTTTAAAATTTGGTGATTGGCCTTTACATTCTTTGGGAGTAATCAACTCACTCCATAATTTCTTCATTTTTAAATGTTGATCCTTTCCTTGTGACTTTAATCAATTTTTATGGCTACATCACAGAAACATATTACATGGTTCTTTCCCATGAAGTAAATGATTTTTCTTAATTTTGATTTAGTACCCAAAATTACTTTCTGTATATACTGTCTGGCTAGATACAGTGGATGACTAATGTTTAGGTCCATTAATTATGTAATGGTGCAGACTAGTACCTTTTGCCATCTGTTTCATTTTTTAAAGTAAATAAAATGTTTTGGATAACGTTTTCAAAAATAGGCTCATCTAATACTTATGGGTAAACAGCAATATGCAAACATATAAAGTTATTGCAGTCAGTTATTTGATTTTTATTTCCAAATTTTTAAATTAAAATATTTGTAGATTATAGTAAGATCTTAGGTCCTTTAAGTGTACAGTTATGTGTGAGGAGTAGCATGTGACTTTCTAAAGACCAAAGGTAAGTAATACATGTTAATAGATTTTATCTACATTCAGTATTCATGTATAACTATTTTCAGAAATTAGACATTTAAAACATATTCTGTTGACAAATGAGTGCCTTTAAACTTATACTCCAACCCTGGTCTCCAAAATATATGAACCATTCCAGAAGAAAGTGTCTTAAATATAATTATTCAAACTTTGAAAGCAACTGAGTAGAAATTTGTCAGTATTCAAGTTATGAAGTGTTGGTGATTAGTTTTGGATGAAAGGAGCATTATAGACTGAACTCTTAAGGTCAATAAATGTCTAAAAACACATTTAGAGTAATTATCTTTTTGCCTAGTATGCCCCTGTCACTTTAAGTGGAGATGTCAGCTTAACACACCTGAGGTCTTGCTTGAGCTGCATGCTTATTTTATTTAAAGGTTCCTGGAACTTCCACATAGAGCTATATGAAAAGAATTTATAAAAGAAGAAGGAAGCCATCACCTGTATTTCTAAAGCTTCAACTTCTAAAAGTGGAAAATTTCAGATACCGTGATAAATGAGTGAGAACAGGACTTTAAGCATTTCAATGCATCAGGCTATATAATAATTTGGAAGACAGCTCTGTTAGAGTTAAAAGACTATACATTAATTGACTATAATTATATATTAGTATAATTTATAATTTTAATTTATAATTATAATTAATGTAATTTTATAATAATATGATTTTGTATATTCTCTAATGTTAATATATAAAAAAGATTATAAATAATTGGAGAAGTTATTTAAACTCTCACTGCTCTACTATATTTATCACATAGGGATATCTGATATAGGAGCCCTCAATCTTCTTTTTAGCATTAAAATCAGAAAAAAGTTTACCTATTGAATAATGATTCTTAAGATACAAGACTTGAGATATCATTATACCTTAAATTTTGGAGGCATGTAAGCATGGTGTCTTAGTTTTCTTTTAATAGTGAGTATGACAGATTGCATTTTCCAAAGGGTTACAATGCATTCTCACATTCCACCTACACTTCTTTTAATATGTTATAGGCATTTCTCCCAATAAGGCTTGGGACAAAGTGAGAATTTTCTATATTACCTTTTCTTGAATTTGGGCATGTCTACAACTAAGGTAGAAGTCACGCTATGTGACTGTACAAAGCTAGTCCATAAAAGGCAAAACAGCTTGTTCTTTGAACTGCTGTGAGTACATGAGGTCACGTGGAGGGCACTGGAGAGGACATATGTAGGCAATCTGACTGATAACCCAAGCTTGGTTCCAGCTAATAGCCAGCATCAACCTTAGGACACCAGAGTGACCGGATCTTCATTTGTTTTCAGCCTCCAGCTTTCAAGTCACCTTTAGCCTTGAACCTTCCCTGCTAAGACTCCTGGCATTTGTGGAGCAGAGGCAAGCCACATCCTCCATGCCATGATCTTGAGGTATTTTAGGCTCTCCAGGCCCTCCTTGTCTTCTCTTCTTAATTGTTCTGTGTCCCCAGCGTCTTAAAAATATACAATTGGAATTTTTTATTCTGTCACTCTCTTTGGAACCAGATCCTTTAACTTCATAATTGGCAAATAATTGTAGACATTTACTCTTTGTTAAACATAGATTCAGTCTAGGCTTTGAGTCTAATATCTGTAATACCCTAAGAATATTTATATACAAACCAAACATTTGGACAATTGATCCATTTGCTATATCCATTTCTGCCTCCTACTTTGACAAATATTCTTTTAATGTTATTTAGAAGGTCAAGTTCAAATTTGAATTATTAGACTTCTCTATCCACACCTGTAAAAAAACTATGCTTGACCCTGCTGCAGGTTACGGTTATTCAAAACAGTTGTGATATACCTTTAGGAGGACAGACTCTGGGAAGTGTTTGTTTGGGTCCTGAAAGAAAGTTGACATAGTAGGATTCTACCTACAAAGAGAATGGTCCAAAAGTGGGATCATGGGATCTGGTTGGACCTAGCTGCAGGACTCCACAGACATCTTCCCTGATGTGTAAGGAGGTACTAGGGAAGGCAAGAATATTATCTTCTTTCTCTGGTGCAGTGTGGTACCCATTACCCAAAAGACCATATCTTAATTATATTAATGGTAGTGAGGATGAGCTCCTTTTCTTCATCATCTTCCATAAGTGGAAATTTAGCTAATCGTACCTTTAATAAGTCTGGAGGTGAGTGGGTGACCTGAGGAAGTAGTGTTGACTGGATAAGTGTCTCCAATAGTATTTTTGGGTGACAGTTAAGGATAGCCTCATAGTCTACTTATCTTTCCTTCAACCGTGTGTCCACCAAGGAGTATGGAGTCATTGAGGTAAGTTGGATTTCCTTAGCTTGTTGATGAGACTTGCTGGATGGCCAAAACATTAAGTTTTCAGTATAGGACTTAGTGGAAGAGAGTCAGTTCCTTACTAATTCTTGAAACTGTTCAGGGAAGTCATCTAAGGAGGAGCAAAGACAGAATAGATAGTCTTTACAGATATGAAGGATAGTTCTAGATGTTTACATCTGAACTACATAAAATTGCATCCACAGGCATGTAGTGTACCAATAATAAATTGCCTTGACAAGCAGTTGTTTATTATAAATTTTGCAACTTTTATTCATATGCCTTCAGTTTCATTAAATTAAACATTAAGATAGGAATCCACAGCTGAAGATGAATATTCCAGTATGAGTCTTATGGATGTAAAATAAATTTAGTGTTTTTACATACCTATTAGCATATTTTAAGACCTGCCTCAGGAAAGTGCTTGCCTGGCAGTGAGCTGAGCTCCCTGTAACTTTTGGTTTTTAGATCATTTTATAGAGCATGTCAGAGTGAAGGTTGGAATTACTCAAAAGACCTTGTGTGCAGAGAGAAACTGATTTTGAAAGCTTTCTGGTGGCTCAGGATTTTCTAATGGCACACTTTTGGATGCCCTGGGATGCAGGAAATTATGTCAGTGTCAGTGGAGGCCAAGTTGGGAGCAGTAACAAGATCAGTAAGAATATCTTTCCCTGCCAGGGAGTTACTAGTGTTGTGCTGTGGGAGGAAGGAAACACCAGTCCCTCCTCAACAGTAACAGTAGCCTCCACCCTGGGTGTAAGTGAAGGCTGAGCAGTGAACCTAGACATCTAGCTCCATCTGGTCATAAGAAGTCAGTGACTCTTCTTCACCCGCTTGACTGGTTTCAGAGAAAGCCAGATAAAGCAAGAGTGTTAAATAAAATAAAGCATCTTATAATATCTACATTGTCCAGATATCAATAAAAAATCAGTCATTTTACCAGGAACGAAGATCTCAAACTGAAAGAAAAACCAATCAATAAATGCAACAGCAAACAAAGGTGGTGGAATTACCTGCAAAAAAAGTTTAAAACACTCATCTTGGAAATGATTCAATGAGTAGTTTCTAGCATGCTAAAAAAAGTCTCATCAGAGAAAGGAAACCATCCCATAAAAGAAATGGAAAATATATAGAAGAACCAAACAGAAATTTAAAAATACAGTAACTGAAATAAATGTACTCAATATAAGAACAGTGGAGGGGCCTCCTTGGTGGTGCAAGGGGTTAAGACACAGCACTATGAAGCTACCTGCATCCACTACAGCACAAGTTCAATCCCTGGCCAGGGAGGAGGCCCACATGACATAGCAGACCTCTCCTGACTCACCCGCTGCTTTCCTCGGCAGTGTATTTCAGTCAATCCGCCTGTCCTGTTCCCCACTCTGTCTCTGGTGAATTCTCTCACCCCCCATACCTCTGGCCTGTACCCCAGTACTTGTATGTATAAATAAATAAATAAATAAATATTTTTTTAAAAAAGAGTAGAGTAGAGGAAAGAATTAGTGAACTTGAAGTTAGGATGATAGAAATTATCATCTGCGAAGATATTGAGAAATATATTGAAAAAAACTAACTTTGCTAGATGTTGTCCTTGGGGAAAACTGCAAATGTACATAGGCTCTTTTGATATTATTTTATTTCCTATAATTCATAGAATAAAATCCACAGTCCTTTTGTTGTTCTTAAAGTCCTAAAACAGGTCCTGCTTATCTCTTCACTTCTTCTCCTCACCCTTCCTCTAATAGAGAGTTGACCGCAGGGCTGTTGTGTCTGCCTAACACACACTTCTCCCTGTTTTCTTTGTTTTTTTTCCCCCCTGTTTTCTTCCTGGTCTCCTTCCTCACTTAATTCAAGCCTATGCTTCAAGGTCAGCTCCTCAGAGATGCCTCATCTATCACAAAATTTAGAGAAGAATCTTCTATTAAAGATATTGAGGTTCTCTTTAATATGAAACAATATTTCTTTTCTCTGTTCCTTTGTTGTGTTTGCCTCCTCATTGGTTTTCTTTGGATTTGTGTGAGTGTGTGTGGTGTATACTTATACATAGTCATATATATCATTGGTATGGTTGGGCATTTACCCATGGTAGTATCTACAAGATATAACTGGTATTCTGTGGTATAAATTTCACCTGCTTTATTCAACAATTTTATTTATCCTATTGAAGAATAGATTCCTCCCCACCCCAAATTTTGCCTGTTGTTTAAAACAATAATTAGCTAAACATCTTTGTACTTGTCTCCTTAGACATATCTGTGATAACAAGCCTATAATTGCATTTAATTTTCTTTTTTTTTTTTTCTTTCCAGGTTTTGATTATTTTGTTAGGGTAAATAGAAAATTTCCTCATCTACTCCCTGTTCCCCCTTTTGAAAGAAAAAAACACATTGAAGTACTAAGGGATAAAAGACAACTAACTCTGATATACAGAGAAATAGAGAAAGTGATAGAACAAACTACCAAAATATTAAGAGTTGGGGAATCTGAGTGAAAAATGTCCATAGTATTTTAAGGTTGAAATTATTTCAAATTAAAATGTACGAATAAAATTCTAAAAATTCATGATTAAATTCTTAACATTGAGACTTGCTATAGCTGCAAATCTTTTTGATAGATTAACTCTTAAATTTCAGACTAGAACAAGATTTTGTAAACCAAAAATAAACAAAATAAATTGGATATACTGATTAACTTACTTTCAATAATACTTTAGTTTCTCTGAAAAAATAAAAGCATGCAGTAAGTCACAGAGATTTCATTTACAGTAAATCAATGTTACCTTAGTAAAAACAAATATATAAAACAAGCTTATTTAAAAATAATAAAATAATAACAAATTTAAGCGAAGATGTGAAAAATCTCTACAATGAAACCTATAACACATTCTTAACAAAAATTGAATGAAATATACACACAAATAAATAAAAGATTGCTACTATTTCTCTAGTTTGCTTCACACCTCTTTTTTAACTCCAGAGGACAAAATTACAACAATAAAGGAGTCAGCACAGCTCCCTTCAAACTCATAGACAATTTCTATCCCGTGGACTGTACCCAAATAAATCCCATATGCCGTTGTGGCTATCATATATATACATTTGCATAAAATATACACACCATCACTTCACATCCCCAAATTTTAAATTAATGTCAGTATGCTGAACCCATCACTTTGCAACTTGTACAACTCACTAAGAAAAATTAGTCTCCAAAATATAAAAATCCCTTTAGCATTTAATTTTCTACATATTTCAATGACTTTTAATATGGGTCTTAATTTTAAGATACATGTTTTTTTTTGGCTATTTTTTATTGTTCTAATTTCTCTAATATGATTAGTTAAGTCATGTAAAATGTCAGTTAATTTGAAATGAGATTTTTCTCTATAGCCTGATACAAAATAATTTTTGTGTAAATGTGCTAAAAAAAGAATGCTAGCTTTTATGCAATTTCTCTCTTTCTCTCTCTCTCTCTCTCTCTCTCTCTCTCTCTCTCATGTGTGTATGTGTGTGTTTGTGTGTATTAGATGAAATAAATATGGCATCCAGATTCTCTGTGCTAATTTCCTTTTTTTAATCTTTTAATTCCTAACAAATATGTTATATTCTCTTACTGTGAGTGATGGGTATATTCATTTCTCTTTGGGATTATTAATTCTTTCTTATTATTGGATTGTTGGTTTATCAGTATCTTTACCTACTTCAAATTGTCTCTTTTGCAGCTTTTGCTTTGAATTCTCTTTTGTGCTATTGCCAAGTCAGCTTTATTTTGCTAGCATTTGCCTTTATTATTTTCAACTTTTTTCTGTCCTTTTTATACGAGTCATGTAATTTTAAAATAGAATATGGTTAGATATTTAGTTGGTTACATCAAATTTGAAAATATCCTCTAAAAGATGAGCTGAACAAATTTATGTTTGCTATGCCCACTGAAACTCTGCTACCTGGCTTTCTGTTTTTTTCTATAACGTTACCTCGCTCTGTTTAAATTCCTAGATTTTGTTAGATACAACAAATTTACATTTTTTTTAATTTATCATTTGTGTACTTTCTACATGAAAATATACTTTCATGTCTATTCTTCTTATGTTTCCTTTGTT